TGCCTAATTAGTTCCTAAAAAAGATATTTACAATGATAAAATATGTGAAATGCCAATTAGGACAAAGAATCGACGCCTAACTTAATTATATTTACCTGACTGACACCCATTTCACTCAGCTGCTCAAACAGACCTCTCCATGAAGGATCTATATTTTGTACCTATAAATATCAAAATTTGGTAAATATTTGGTTGGCTTACATAAACACAAATTATCGAATAAAAAGGTAGCCATGCTCACATCATATCCAGTATCAGGATTAAAACCTATGTGTCCGAGATGCCTTTTAAGAAAAACATATTATTTTAATACACACAAATCCTGAACTAATAAATAATAATCTGAAATATTAACCTAAAATCAGATGGTTGACTGATCGTCGCCTTGTCTATTTTATTCTTTTTTTTGTTATTGCTAAATATTCCACCACTTTTAGAATTTTTTTGGTTTTTTTTAGCTATTTAAATTACATAGTCAATAAAGCAAATTTTCCTTAAAAGATTAATAAATAAAAAATAGATAAATATGTATATGTATGGTACCTTTATCAGCGAGTTTCTCCCTATTTATAACTTTCTTGCAGAAGTTTTTGGCTTCAGTTTCACTGGCAAAAGAGAACGCAGCATAGTAATCCTATCAAAGTAATAATAAATTGATGTGAAACGACGTTTTTAATATAAAACTTTATAATGAAATAACAACAGGGACTTTACATCAGTGCAAAAGGTATGAAAGAATGGGCGTTCTTCGTTGTATTGAAAATCTTTATATAATTCTTGTTCCCATAAAATTCCGTGACCATTCTATAGAAATTAAAATTCTATATTATAATAAAGTGACTCAAATGAATCAGAAATAAATTTAAAAACCGACCATCAAATCTACTAAACGAAAAAAAAAAGAATTTTTTTCTTGATCTTTGACAAAGGCTACGGCACCCATAAGGTTGCTGTAAGTCCACTCATCTGGATTAGGGTGCGCAACATAAAGTCGAACAACAGTTGCGGTGATGATTTGCTAAGAACAAAAAGAAAAAAAAAAGCATATTAGTAAATTCATAAAGACAATACTTATACACAGATAGAGAAATCATACATTTTTGGGGGTTTTTATAACCTTTCTTATTGCAGTTTTTTCATCGGGGTTTATAGAAGAAATCGAAGGCATATTTCCAGAGGTTTTTTTTAAAAAAATTATTAAAAAAAAAACTGGTCATTAAATAAAGCCTGCTATACTAATACAGTAATATGGTACGCCAAGCCACAGCCAAGTTATTGGCCACGCCAAAATCCGATTGAAACAATCGTGTTTGAACACTGTCCAACTGTCAATATCGGCAGTAAATTTTTTGAAGTTTTTGAAACAAATAGATTTCTAATACTGAATAAAACACTCTTATTAATAAAAATGGGATATACGTATTATTCTGATCTAAAGATCACAAACTTAATACTTTTACGTTACAGTTCCTATATAGAACGTTTCACAGCTAATTTGATATATTTACAAATTTTATTATAGATATTAAATTATAATATTCAACATAATTAAAATATCAAACCGGTTGACTGGTTTATTTAAAGGAAAGAAAAAATGCTTCAAGAATGTACACATATACATGATAAATTTTAGAATAATATGTAGACAAGTACAAAAAGATTCACAAGAACCCGTACTAAATATAGTCGCCCGTCCCAGATTGTTTAATATATAATTACGAAATAATTTAAAGAGAACAAATACAAATATACATCGGAAATTGATAATGAAATCACCAATAATAATTATTAGAGCAGCACTAAAAATTAATTCAATTATTCATATTGATCTCTTAAAAAGTTTTCATAATCTTCCCGCACACATTCTCCTCCCTTACGGGGATCAAACGTAAATTTATAGGTAGACACTAATATAAATAAACCAATAAATCATATCTAATCTTCTAATAACTCATTGTATAATTATTAGCATCGCATTTAATCATGATTCAACACGATTGTGTGTTTCTTCTGACAAAGGAACTGTACACATCTTTAATTTGGACGCTATTCTTGGGAATGGCTTTAGTAATTCTCCAAACAATGGAGGGCCTTATTATGGTGAAAAAGTCGTTGTAAAGTAAATACAAATGTTCATTTAGTATTTCCCAATATTCAAGTTTAATTTTACATTTGTTTCGTTCCGTTGCAGCAATACTATCCCATCACCGAGCGGTAACCGCCAATCTAGGTAACTAATATATTTATAATAATTGCATAA